TTAAAGGCTTTAAATAAAAAAACCTCTGGCTGTAAGAATCAGCTTTTCACGTTCATATTGTATGGCTGTGGACTCATACCTGGGTTATGAAAGAAGTCCCAAATAAGATGAGACATAATAAAACACAAGCTGGGCTTAAGAAAAGACTGATTTCTGACAGTAGTTCTCAGTGTTTTAAACACTAGCTGCCTAGCCATATATTTGCAAGGTTTTAATTGCACCATTCCCAGTGATTTAACATTGCAAAAATTTACATACTTCCATGCTCAGAATTTGAGAAGCTAAGACAATGAGAAACTTAGGTTGACATAAACATGATTCACAGAAAAGAATATTTTTTTTCTAAAATAAGTCACCAGCAGCAGATGACTGGCATCCTACATGTACTGAATATATCCTGTGTCTTCAAGCTCTTATGCTGTGAATTCCTTTCTATGCTTTATTTCTATGATCCAGATTTTAACTCATGAGGTGAGAATTACAGAAAAACAGTTAAACAAATAAAGAAAAAAAATTGCCAGACACGCCTTAATATGCCTAGACACATACAAGCACTGAAGAATAAAGAAAAGATCAATATGAAAGAGTGGGCCAGAACTTCAGATGGGACAAGCAAACACAGGGAGTGGAGGATGTTGATCAGTGAGGAGTGATGAGGAGCTCGAACTGTATGGACACAGAGGGTAGTGTGGGAAGTGAAGCACGAATGACTATATTCTATCCATGTACTTAGGAAGACTTGAGTTTCTGCAACTAAGAAACAGGGGACACTCTGAAGACTGAAGTCTTCAGCAGTATTATTGTTCACAAGCATAATCTTCATTTTTAGACTTTTGGTTGAATCAGTATCCAATTGTTAGAAATAATAGCATGCACTCTTAGGAAAGAAGGCATTGAACTGCTAATTCCAGATAAGTAAAGCCCAACTTTACTTTGTTTTCTCCTGAAGTGTTATCCTACTCAAGTTTATCTTTCATAAATCCTGGCGCAAGTTACAGGGACATTATATTAATTAATAATTTCTCTTCTCTTCCTCTTCTCTTCTCTTCTCTTCTCTTCTCTTCTCTTCTCTTCTCTTCTCTTCTCTTCTCTTCTCTTCTCTTCTCTTCTCTTCTCTTCTCTTCTCTTCTCTTCTCTTCTCTTCTCTTCTCTTCTCTTCTCTTCTCTTCTCTTCTCTTCTCTTCTCTTCTCTTCTCTTCTCTTCTCTTCTCTTCTCTTCTCTTCTCTTCTCTTCTCTTCTCTTCTCTTCTCTTCTCTTCTCTCCCTCTCCTCTCTCCTCTCTCCTCTCTCCTCCTTTTCCTTCCAAATTTTACTCACAGGTCCGATTGATACTTCTAATTGCAACAACAGGCAGCCAGACAAGAACAGTACAAGAATCTTTATTTTAAGTATTTATTGTTATGCTAGAATATCACTCAGTTTCCTCTGGGGTAATTCAGCACTCCTGTGGGAAATATGTGACCTCATTTGCATTTTCTAATTGAATTGCTATCAGGTTTCTTGCAAGACTGAACAAAAAAAGTTCCTAAAGTTACTAACATCACTTGTATTAACCAGAAAAAAGTTTATGTTCAATTGTTTACTGGGGAGGAGGGGAAAATGTATGCTTCATTTATCATAAAATACATTTTAAAAATATTTACCTTTGCTATCATTTCATCCTACTTGTATTAAACTGTAATGTAGTAGTTAGAATTATTTCATTACAGTAGTTACCAGTGAAAATTTGCAGATTTGCTTAGGTTATTAAGTCATCAAAAACCATTAGCACATTTATAAGGCCAACACTATGAAGGAGGGGAAACTGTTATTGTATTGGGTCACTCACCATTAAAATATCAGCTTACACTGAGAGTAACGGCACAATTGTGGGATCTCAGGTGCAGGTATAGACACCAAAACCTCTGATTTTGCAATGAAAGCACACAAGGGGATGACTATCCTGAGAGGAGCTATCCTGAACCAATCTGTCACCCTGAAAGCATGCTGGCCCCCACCAAAACTCCCCTAGCCCACTATGTAGGTTTCCAGTCTTCTATATTGTGATCACAAAGTATGACAAATCCAAAGGATCATGTATTGAGGTATTTATCTTCTGTGACCTTGTGGAAAGTAGACCACTGCCTTGATTTTGCAGGCAGGCTGTAGGAGACTGGGTTTGCTCCCCCATAAAACACACCAGGAATTTTCAGCAGAGCAGGGACCTCACTTCTAGTCCCCCATGACCTTAGCCAGTATCCCAACAATGCTAACTTCTCCTGTAACATTTATTTTGTATTAACCTCCATAATAAACCAAATGTCTAATAATGGCCATTCCAGGAGGACTAATCATGTTTTCATGAAGCTTTAATCCACAGATAATTGTGAACTAAACTCTGATTTATCCTTTCAGAAGTGATTCAGAGGGGCAGCAAGCTTCCCATTACACAGTGGGATTGCCACAGCTGAGGGCCATCAGTCATGGGGAAGCCTACAGAAACACAGAGGATGAGCAAGCAAGGCAGAAGGACTTGTTTGTGCTGTAGGTACCAGCAAACAGAGATCAGTAGGTGTGGTAAGGCAAATTTCATGCCAATTATTTTTAATGTCTGGGAACTGTTCAGCATTTTCACAAAATCAGTCAAAAAATTACAAAGTAAAATGAAAATGGATGTATGCACCAGAACAGAGAGTTGGTCTCTCTCCCTTTCTCACGTGACCTCCTCCTTTCTCTCCATATTTACTGCGTCCGTATCCTGAATATAACACAACAGCCTGAAATGTCTTTAAAAATATTATGTAGTTCTGCTTGAGTCATATTACACTATACAAAACCAAATGTGAAATCTGTTTCTAGTAAAAGCCATGAAATGTAGTATATTAAGGTCATGGCCTGAAACACACTGAACTGGATATTGTTAGGTTTTGGTGTTTTTTTTAGCATAAACACTATTATTTTTTAAAATAATCTCATAATCATATTTATTTCTTTAGTGAACAAAGGAGTATTTTGCTTGCAAAAAGCACAAGCATTTAAATAAAACACGTCGGATGCCTGCTATAGGGACCCACAATAAAACTGCTTATGACCTTGTCATTAGTCTTGTTTTCCATATTTTTCCAGCCTCAAACTACACTCTAATAAGGCTTTTAGAAATGAGGGATATGAATTTTAAAAAGCTTAGCTCTCTCTGTTTTGAACTGGAGTTCAGCTTACATTAACATTAGATGAATTTCCAACCAAATATTTTACTAAAACAGAAATGTGTGCTTATTCAGTTTTCTTTCTGCTACACTGAGAAGAAATTTAAAGCAGTATATAAGACATCTTACTTTGTTCCTTCAATATTTAATTACTTTTAGAAGGAAGCAGTATTTCTTTGGTTAGAAAATGGCAAATACAGTTGATATAACATACAGGGCTTAATTATATCTTTCACAAGCCAGAGCCTTACTGAAGAGCAGCAGAAGTGTATTTATATGACTCTAAGCCATGCAAAACCTCAAGGGTCAGCCCATCGGGCAACCGCTAGATTTAAGTCTCTTCAAGTCTTTTCCTTCTTGTCTCCTGCATGGCAAAAATTCTCCCAAATGGCACAATACAGCACAGAAAGTCCCTCCCCCTTTACCCCCTCCTTCCCTGCCCTGCCCTCTATGCCTAAGCACTTCAGAAAAGAGGAAAGGAGAAGCCAGTCTTGATATTTTGACAATTACTGTGGTGCATTAACCCAAACTACGTCTATGGCCCATTGACCTTGCCTATCCCTGAACTAGCTGTGACTGTTCCCCAGGACATGTGCCTTTGTCTTTGATCTGCAGGTCTTCAAGATCCAGCAGTAAATCAGGCTCTTCAACCGATTTCCTGCCAAATCCTGCTTAAATGTAACTGCCCAAGCATCACAGAATTGTTTTTTTTGAGTAGGTGCCAGACATTATAACTGCGTTTACTCAGTGTAGTACAGGATCTTCAGCCCAGACTAACACAGAAAAGGAAGGAGGAGAAAATGAAAAGGGGAACTGCTGCTACCAAAGATGATATGGAAGAGGTGGGACAGAGACAGCTTCTCAAGGAGCAGACCAGAAGAAATGTGTTTTCATGGAGAAGTCCCCAGTTACCGTGGCACTGTGCAGCCCACTGCTGTATTTAACTGAAGCAATACTGCTCTCAGACTGCCAGGCAGGGACAGATCCTTCCTGCTTTTCAACTACATGTATGAAACTAAAAAAGAAAGAAAGCATCTGTAACTTTCTGTCTGAAATACTTAATGGTGCTGGCTTTTCACTCTTCAGCTGTGGGGATGGGAAGCTGTTGGCATTGAGTGGAGGAGACATTTGCCACTGTGGTGTCATGTTGTGCTTTGCTGCCTCGCTGGCCCCATGATGTGTGTGAGCATATGTCCCTTATCAGGAAGCAGCAAAGCTCCCTGTCCTTGCTGCATCGGAAGGGAACAAGCCCAAATCTCCCCTCTGGAAGTCCCCCACATTGCTGCAGGGCCATGCAGATGGCTTGCAGAGAGAAAGGAATCACTGCAAAACCCAGGGAGATGTCTCAGCAGCATGGCAGCAGCAGCACAACTCCAGGTCTATGCCATCACAAAAGAAATCTGCTTAAATTCCTATTACTCAAGAAGCTGGTTGGCTTTGACTCTGGAGAGAGGGAGGCACCCTTCATTTGCAGGTTTTATTTCAAGTCAAGAGAGAGTAATAGCAGTGAGATGCAAACACAAGGTATGTAACCTGCAGTAAGTAACAGAGCCAAGCAGTCACTTAAAAATACAAAACTGTGAACTTAAAGAACACTTTCCTCACTGATGACCTCAAATCATTTCTGTGAGAGAGGCTGAAGGATCATTTACAAGAAGTTTGATGCTGCTCGTGGTATTTCCTACCTGGACACTTCCTTCGGAAGCACAGACCAAGCAACACAAACAATCTGATGTTGCATGTAACTTTTAAAGGTTTGGGGAACACAGTCAAAGGAAGAATGAAATATGAAAAAGGGCTTTGAAAACTTCCTACCTTGTGTCCATTGTGTTGTGACTTCTCTGCCACCAGAAGCCTGACGATCACCTCCCATCTGCCCAGGGTCTGGGGGTCCCACGCAGTCACCATCAGGATCAGCTGCTTCGAGGGCATTTGCATGTGGTGGGCAGCACACACGGTCCCATCTGCCCTCACCTTGAAGTCCAGGCTGTTGGTCTCATACCGAACTCCCTTGTTACCGGCACAGTTATTAAATTTTACTAGAACAGAGAATAAGAGATGGAAGAAACGTGTGAGATTGGCGTGATAAGAAAAGCAATCAAATACAAGTTTCAGACATTTAATTTTCACTGATGTCTTCTATATCTCTAATAACCATCAAGGAAATGATTTAACTGTTTCTTCGACCTTTCAGGAGTGCTCTTGTGCTTTATCTCCATTCCCCTGGGAAGAAGTTGTAAGCCATTTTTAAAGTATTTGATACAGTTTCATTAGATCTCAAACACAGCTGTTCCCCATTTCTACAAGTGGATTTCTCCCTTGTCGCCATTATCTTTTAAATTCGACTGGAGTCTATTACCCACACTGTGGGTATTTTTTGCACAAAATGTTCTCCATTTCCCTAACCCTTCAATAACCTACTTACCAGATAGCCTATTTGCACATTCTTAACTGAAATTCAAAAGCCCATAACAATTCCATTATCAGAAATACAAAAACAGAAAAAAAATTAAACAAAAATTTAAACTGTTTTGCGGAATGCATCCACTGCTGGAACCAGACCCCCCCAGCAACTGCTGCAATCCCACTCTGGCCAACCCCTCCACATGTTACAGAAATTGCAAAACAGGAATTGTAAAACTTCACAAACCACAACGTGTCATTTAAAAGCCTACATTGTCAGATCAAAGCTCCCCAGTTGCTGATATTTTTATTTTTCATGTTATTTGGTCAAATTCTTTCACAGTCTAGTTTGAAAACTATTTTTATTGGCATTATGAAACATGTCACATACATTAGGCTGGAAAAAACCCAAGCTATTATATGACAAAATTGACAAATCTGATAGAAATTGAACCTGCAGCTAATCACATAGGAAACAAAACACTTTCTGCCATTTGAGTAATCCACGGGGCGGAACACACATGTGGTGAAGGAAAACATATTGTAGCCGTAAAAACATCTCAAGTGAGTGAGAATGGATATACAGCTTTGTAGCTAGGATCGTTACACGGGCTCTCGTGCTGCGGCTTCCGAGTGCTCAGCAGCGATGCTCCTCACCTGCCCTGAGATATGGAAAACCTGCTGTCCAAGCCTCATGCAGCTTCAGCAGGCACTTAATTTTTGCACCAGAAAAGCTAGGTCAGATGAAACCTACCTAGACTGGCTGTGGTGGGAGGAGAAGGGATGCAGTAGCAATCCAGGCGAGAGGAGTTCCTGGGACAGTTTTACCCCAACCGTCCCCTTCCCCCCAAACCAGAGCTGACTGCTTCTGCGGTGCTGCTTTGAGCTGAATCAGGGACTAATCTGGATTTAAATAAAAATATCTGAGGGATGGCATAGGTGAAAGAAAAAAGCAGCCAGGGAACTGCTCAAGAAGTCCTGCTCCCAAAACCCCCCAGTACAACCACAGGATGGAGACATGAGGAGCAGACTGTAGTGGAGGAGGGGAAAATCCGTCCCCTCCTTCACCAAACTGCACCTCTCGATATCTGGGATGCTGTGATCATGTTGCAACTATACATTTTACAAAGGCTTTCCACCTACACATTTACTTAGACCACATTTGTACATTTTTATGAGTGTATGGTGGAAATTTACCCAATGCTGCAGTAATAATTGGGCACAAACAGCAAATGTCACACATTGATTTATAAAAAAGAAGATGAATAAAGTTATCTAGTATATAAAAAACCCCATGGGTAATGCTTTTAAGCAATTTCTTTGTCATAGGCTACATCATTAAAATCTTGTTTAATCCGGAAGGCAGGGAAAACAAAAGTCCCTCAGTTTTGTTTCGGAAAGCAGGGGTTCACCCATCTTTACTTTTCACGGTAGCTCAGACTGCAGCAAATAACCTCCACGCCTATCTCATCGGACGTGCTTTAGTCGAGACATTTGACCCATTATCTCTGCTTTCTATCTCCAGAAGCACAACAAATATTTTTCAGTGTAACAGGAAGTAGCATCTCCTGCCTTACCCAAAGTTCAAATGAAATTTTGGTCACATTTTTTCAAAGGATAGGATATTACTTAATTGCTACTTTGACCACAGTCTGAAGCTCCTGGCACCCTTGTTTTCAGTCACAGAGTGTCAGAGCACAGGGCAGATTTCAGCAGTCTGGAGGAGGGGACCTCTGACTTACAAAGATGAGACTTCCATCCAGTTAAATAAATAAATTAATTAAAATAAATTAAATAAAGAAGAAAGCCTACAGGATTGAGTCTTCCATAGTTTCCTGAAAATCTAGGAATTATCTCAAACTTCAAAGTTCAAAGCTCAGATGTACAGGTTGGAAGCCAAATGTAAAAAAAAAATACATGACTCTCTTGGCTTCAAACTTTAGCACTGTCAGAGCTGTAGCTTGGGCCCTTCTTGAGGTGCCATGTGCCATGGAGCACCTGAGCCATCCCACCCAAACCCAACCAGTGCTGAGGGCTACCAGTCCATGCTAACAAGCCAATGCTCTGGTCTTGGGGTCAATCGGCACACAGCAGCTCATCTCCTGAAGGCCAAAATTTCTTATCCCCCAAAACACGGTTTCACTTTTAAATGTCCTACTGGGAACAACAAATGGTCAACACTGAGTCCAAAACTGTGGTGCTATCTCCAGTCTGACCATACGGGCAGCCCCAGGTCAGTTTGCAGACCCATGCCGGCCCTGCTTGCTTTGCCAGTGAAGACCCAGTTTTTAGACTAGTCTGAAAAATAAAAATCCATGAGAGCACTGAATGATGTTAAATGCACACATGGTTTGGAGGCATGTACAAAAACCAACACTGCACACCCGGAGAAACCGGGGTGGCCTCAGAGACCTGCGAGGCAGGGTGCACCACAGGGGACCACCCTGTCCCAAGATCTCCTTCACCTCTCATGAATTTCTGTAGATCTCCCCCACATTCACAGCAGTAATAAATATGTGTGAACACATTGAGTGCTTTGATGCTAATATGTTATTTATTTTCAGCTCCATGCCATCAGTGTTGTTATAAATGAGGTATATTAGTTGCTGTGTTATTGCACTCCTTTGCTACGTAATGACAATGCAAAAATCAAGTTCTCTCTATACCTCCTGAAGTACCCACATATCATATACAAAAAGATATTTCAAGAAGAGAGAAGAGAGTGATAATGACTGCACATTAAAAACAATTCAGAGCTTACTTTGATTTTATTGAGATTAAAAGAAAGCCCTACAGTGTACCACTAGTCTGAGAGAAAAAAAAAAATAATCCTGTCCTATACGTGTACATAGTGATTTCGGTATTCAAAGTACTTAAACATCTGCTTAAGACACAGCGCATGGCTCCAATATGCTGCTCTGGTGTCATATGTCACTGTGTCGACTTTTATGCTCCATTATCTAAAAATGGCTACCTCTTAGACAAAGTCCCTCTGTGACTTGCTAATTACTTCCATTATTTTAAAACAAACTTGACTAGAGACAGAGAAAATCCTGAGAGAAATTAAGTCTAATTTTTTAAACAAGCAATGTGTCTGCTCCACATTGCTCTTCTCAGGTAGCACAGGTAGATGAACGCTCAGCAATGAATTAACCCAGCCAACTCCCCTCCAAAGAGTCCTTAGAAGCTGCAAGCACAAAAAGCCTTCAAGGACATAGGGATTCCATAGCGTTTAGTCACTAGGATGGACCACACCATGCACAGCTGCCTGCAGAGCAGCAACAGGCCCCGGCTCACCCAGGCGGCTTTGCAGAAGATTTCAACCACACAGAGGAGACAGATGAGTCAAAAACTCATCAGGGCCCAAGCACCAGGGATCACTGTGTCAGCTGCTGTTGCTGTGGCTCTAGGCACTGTTTATACATAGCACGGAAAACACTTCTGCAACACAGTCGAGATGAACTACTCACACTTAGACCACATGGCTGCAAGGACTCCCATTAGAAATCCTGTGCTCATCCTCCTTGCTGCCCTGTGAAAATGATTCCTTGGGATGTTACATGACTACTGAGATATACTGGTTTTTATACATGTATATATACACACACACACACTATACCTATATGTAAACATTTTTTTTTCCAAGTATATATGTGTAAGTTTGGAAAAAACCCCAACAAACTATTGCTCTTTAATAAATAACATAGCTGAAGGAAAGGAGATCTCATCCATATTTTCAAATTCCACCTCTTACCTTTACTCTTTGCTCTCATGGAAACAGAAATTAATATTTCATCCAATGGCAGAAAACTTTCGCTTTTTTTTTCTCTTTTACACCTTCAGAAAGCTCTAAGTCTATGTAATTTGCAGTTGATGCAACTCTTGACTTTAAAATAAACAAACAAACATTGTCTCTGTTTACTAGACTCAGATGTCTCTGTGGACACAAATCTATCGTTCTTTGACCAGTCTGAAGTCTAAAGAACACTGCATGAATTTAACATTCAAAAGCTGCAGCATCAGTAATTAGGATTTCAGGTAAACAGCAGAGCCACACATCTATCATTTTTACAGGATGGTAAAAAAAGAAAATTTTTTTAATATACTCTGGAAAAATGTTCAGTGATGCTTATCGAAGGCTTATGCTGAAAACAGCATCAAATGCCTGATGAAAAGAAAACCAAGAAGACACCCTCATTAGCAGGCTTTTAGGTTTAACCCTTTACCCTCATCATTTTTAATTGCTTCTCTACGAAAGGAGGAAGTATGACAATTTGATATGCTGAAACAGGTATGAGTGATGGGCAGAAAAGCTGCAGGAGTCTGCAGCAAACTGCTGGGCATCTGAGAAAAAAAATGGTATTTTTCTTCATAAAAGACACATGGTAAAAAAAATTCAACAAGTTTTGCATTGTTCCCTTTTATTATTTAGCTTGTTAAGCTAGCTGGACAAAGTCAAATGATCAAGCGAGGATCTTGAAAGATGTATGAATACACTGAACTTCCTTGCCCCACAAATGTCTGAGAAATACACTGAATTTAATAGGACTACAAATGATATAAACCAAAGAATTCACTTTAAGCCTTATCCTTCTGGATTCTCCTTTAACTTCTCCTAGTCCATTAAAAAGTGCCC